CTTCAGGAGCCATCATAGACTGTGATAGAAGACTTCAAGGAAATATCAGAGATAATACATAGCTAATATATGATTGGAGCATATATGTAGTATTATCCTGTTCAAGCTCTGTAATGTAAAGTTAGGCATGATCAAGAAATGTACGTCAATATGCATAGAAAACAACTGTTTTTAGAACATTGGAAGCAGTAGCTACATCGTGTTTCACATTTTTAATCCTGCAAGGGGTTGCGCTAACAGCTTTCTATGCAATGGTGAAAAAAGTGTATGTACGTAAAAGTGTATGTAGCTTATCTCAACCAAGAAACCGAACTGCTAAGCAGATATGCTTCCATTCGATGAAAATTTTTTGTTAATCCACATATTACAAGCGGAATATGTCGTCGTCTTCTGTGTATAAATCCTAGTCAATGGAAATCAGTATCAGTGCGTCAGTGTTCCAGTGTGCGTCAGTGCAACAAGTGCAGTCAGTGTCAGTGTATGCACTGATTCAGTGAACACCAGTGTCAGTGTATGTACTGATTCAGTGAACGCCAGTGTCAGTGTATGTACTGATTCAGTGAACATCAGTGTCAGTGTATGTACTGACTCAGTGAACATCAGTGTCAGTGTATGTACTGATTCAGTGAACGCCAGTGTCAGTGTATGTACTGATTCAGTGAACACCAGTGTCAGTGTCATCAGTGTACCGGTGAACGCCAGTGTGACTTTATCGGTGATCAGTATACTGAAACTGCACATCCCTAAATGTGTGCCATAGTGATTATGCAGCAAGATTAATCCAGCTAGAAAATGAAGAAAAAGTAGATATATTAGCGGAATAGTTCCTTTCTAGGTCGACAACTTACCTAAATCGTGGCTGAGTGATGCCATTCTTCTCTCAACAGAATTATGAGCACTGTATCTAGGTACATTTATTGCCACAGATGCACAATCTAGATTGTTCTCTTTCAAAAATGAGCAATAACATGATGCTGGTTTTTGGAAACGTGAATTTTCATCAGGATCACCATCTATAAATACAATAACAATCGGTTTCATTTGTTCATCATTAGTAGTAGCCATTTTCTTAGATGAATCCAGCTTTAAACAACTTGTTAAATCAGAGAAATGTGAATACACTCTAAAAAAAAAAGGTTTTTGCAGAAACCGAGACACCTTCGGAAACCCTTTCGGGAACCTATAAACGTATCCGAAAAGGTTTCCGGGCCCACGTACAGTTTCTGAAGAAGCCTTCTGGGTTTCTGGGACTTCGGAAACCATTGGGTTTTTGAGAAATCAAACTCGGAAACCCTCAACCGTATTTTCAGATACTCTGATACTATTTTCGGGAACCGGAGGGTTTCCTCAGAAACCGTTGCTGATTTAAAAACTTTCTCAGAAACCTTAGGCGTATCCTCGGCTACCTTTGCGTTTTCCTTTTTTTTTTATCAAAAACCTTTTTGAGTTTTCGAACAACGGAAACGATGATAGCGTTTTCTAGAAGTCGAGCACGGTTTTCGAACATATCTCTGAAACCCTAAAAGGTTTCCGAATTTTTAGAGAGCTTTGAGTTTCCGAAAAAAGAATCTCAGAAACCCATTCACTATACAGAAAACTTGAGTAGCATCCAAATGAATTCCATTTGATTTTTGCGTTCCCCTCATATCGTTTGCAGGTTTAGGAGTTTCTCGGCACACAAAATAGAAACCTTCTTTAGTGTATGTGAAGCTGTTTTTTAAAAACTTTAGAATTCTTAGGATCCAAAAAAGTGCTTTATTTTCGAGAGAATCTCTTCTTGTTTTTACGTTCATGATTGCCTGCACATGTGAATGGATTAAATAACAAATTTTGCATGAAGAATCGAAGAGCTGCGCTAAACGACGATGCCGTTCAAAGAATTTCGCCTTTCTCTTTCTTCATTCATTTATATTTCGTCCAGTGTCCAAATATTAATATCTTTGAAAACACATTGCAATGAAGCACAGAGAAGTTTCCGACGTTTAAAGATTCTTTTAATTGATTTATACAAAAAATTGACAGATGACGAACGATTTAAACCATGATGATATTTCCATTTCTAGGAGACTGAAACAGGCATTGTTATTATGGAAAAGAAAGAAAAATTTGTTGAAATATGTTCATATGAGAAGTGATTGATCGGTTTATGATTGTATTTTCTTTGCGTTCTTTTTCTGTCTTAATATGCTTACTTTGTATTTCAAATAGAAATAAAGGAAAGCGCCTCTCTAATAAACAGATTTTTCATAATGCATATGCGTTTTAGTATTGTTTACTTTAACTGTACTAAAATGAATTGTTATCTGAAGATGATTGGCTGTTGGCTAGCCTATAGCATAATATGTAAATATCTTTACTTAGATCATTCAGATTAAACTTCTGGAAAGAAAAAAATAAACATATATTTACGAAAATTTGTCGTATTTTACTCTAATCGTTTCCATGTTTATTCTCATATAGCTGAGTAATTTATGCAACTTCTCACAAATACCTCTATGCTTTCACAAAACAGTCTAAAATACTTTTCCTTCATCTGCACGTTGTGCAACGAAATTCCGATGATTTATGACAATTTCTTCTATTTCTCTCAATATATTTTTTATCCAAAGAATACTCAGGTCAGGCAAAAGCATCGGGACACAAAGATTTTTTGAATTCGGTTCGTGACTAGAAGAGATAAAAGTAGTTCTTTAGGCGTTCTGATATTGTTATCACAACTAAGATATATGTGCTCAATATATTAAAAATTCTAAGGAGTGTCTTTTTTTTTATTATAGATGAATACTTCGGATCCATTAACATGGAATGTAGACGATGTTTCAGTTTGGTTACACAATTTTATTTCGAATGATGATATAGTTAATGATTTTAAAAATAAGTTGTGTAAAATACCTAATGAATTGTTTTTATGATCAGCAGATCATCGTTTTTTTTACCTTTTTATTTCTCTATCTTGGATCTTTAATGGTAAAAAAGAACTTTTTAATTAGTGCTTGTCTACTGGAAGATATATTTCTAATACTTTAGTACCCATACTGGGTGATCGAATTTATTTTATAATTTCAGATAATAGATAAAAAATTACAAATAAACCAACGATTTTTGTCTTCTTTTATTTTGAGATAGAAATATTTATAAATATGTCAAGTAGAGTTTTTTTATGCTCAATTTGTTTGACTAATCGATCATTTAGCAAATTTTCGGATTATTTTCGACATATAACCTTGTACCACGCAAATGAACCTCACTTTCGATTAATATGTAACTTGTCAGACAGCTGTGGTACGCTGTACAAAACATTTATTTCGTACAAGGCACATATTCATCGTCATCATAAACATCTACTTGATCCTCTATTCCAAGAACAAGAAGATAGTGTAATTAATAATGCTGAAAATTTTTCAATCGACCAGTCCTTAGCATCAGCTGTTTATTACACTACAATCGAGAATAACATGCAAGATCTTATATACGAAGATGGTGACATTGATGCTGATGATGATTGGCAAACATCCGCATCTACTTTCACCGTTTTTCAGCAACATGAAAAAATTACATTTAAGACAATTCAAAAACAATACACACTCTTTTTACTCGAAATGAGAGAACAACATATGTTACCACAAGGGGTAATTCAAAATATTACAACAAGTATCCTGAACTTATTTGATATGACGATCGATCTTATAGAAGAAAAAGCAAAAGAAGAAAATATTAATGAACAACAATCATCAACAACAATGATATCTACAAACAGCATTAGAAAAACCATCAAGCAAATTGAATAATTAATTACTTTCTCAACAAAAAATGAATATCAATTTATTCAATCTTGCAAAAATTTCTTTGATTATACACCACCTATTGAAAACCTTATCTCATCAAAAGGTGAAAAAAAAGAATATTCGTATCATGTATCAATTAAAGATTCCTTGAAAAAGATATTAGAAAAAGATGAAATGATACCGTTACTTATAAATAATATTCAAGATCAAAATAAAATAATGCAAGCTGATTCCGATTTAATGTTTTCTTTTCGGCACGGGATAAGAGGCAATAAAATTAATAAAAAATCATTCTTGATTCAATTATACGTTGATGGAATCGGTGTAACAAATCCAATAGGGCCAAGAAAAGGTCTTCATAATATTACTATGGTCTATTTTCTTTTGGAAGATATACCAGATATATTTCGATCAACATTACAATGTATAAATTTGGCAGCTATTTGTTATACGAAGTATTTAAATAATAATGAAAAAATGAAAAAATTCTATGCTCCAATTGTGAACGATTTAAATGAATTACAATCAACTGGGTTAATCATAAATACTTTCAATAGTCGAGTCTACTTTACATTTACCACAATAGCTGCTGACAACTTAGCAGCGCATGAAGTAGCAGGCTTTCAAGAAACATTTAGCTCGGGTCATTTTTGCCGACGATGTTTGATTTCATATGAAAATCGTTTAGTTTCATTAGCTGATGTTGACATTATTCCTAGAGTAAATGTTAAACACCAATATTATTTACAACTACTAAAGGAACATTCTAGTAGAAAGTCTGTATTTGGTGTAGTTGGACTAAGTCCCTTCGACGAGTTAATCAATTTTGATCCAACACAATGTTTTCCCGGTGATATAATGCACGACTTTTTCGAAGGTAATTATTAAAAAATAAAATTTTGATTATATCTTCGCATTTCTTTTTTATTGCAGGTGTTTGTCCTTTGATCGTGATAGCAATGCTAAAAGAAGCATCTAATTTAAAATTAATGACATATGCTGGTATACAAGAAAGAACTGAGAGTTTTTCGTATGGTACATTCGATTCGTTGAACAGACCACAACCTATACAAGCGAAACACTTTCATAACAATTGCATCAATGGAACTGCAGCACAAAAGTATTGTTTATTCCGTTTATTTCCTATTGTTTTTGCTGATATAACTGCACGTTTAAAAACATTCAAGATTTATTTGGTTTTACGTGAAATGCTGGACATGGTACTGGCTTTACCTGTACGAAAGAGTTGGTTACCATATATCGAAACATTAGCTATTAACTTTCAGAGTATGATGGTTGAGCTTCTGCCTGAAAAGATAACACCTAAAGTACACTTCGTGACCGAGTACTGGAAAATAATAGAAGAAAATGGACCAGCAATCAAATACTGGTGCATGAGATATGAGGGTGCACACTCCTATTTTAAAAAAATTGCTCTTCAATCTTACAACTTCAAAAATATTCCAAAAACACTTGCTCAACGACAACAATTAAGACATTGTTTTTTCCTATCTAAATATCAATTCTTGAAAGCATATGATGGACCTAGTGGTATTAAAAAAGCTGAGATGCATCATATAAATTCAACAACCAAAGCCTTTCGCATTCAACAATTCGGAAAACAATTCATTCAACCTGATCAAACAATTCATGAATGTTCTCAATTAATTCACAATCACGTTATTTATAAAAAATTGGCTATTTATGTCTATGATTTGGAATATGTGGAGGAAATTCCATCATTTTTACAAATACTTCACATATTTAAATTTAATCAACAGTGATTATTTGTTGTAGACTTATTGCATACAGACGGTTTTAATACAAATTTGTGGAGCTACAAAGTTAGGTCGTCCAATCAACTGGAAATTGTTACACCCAATGATTTAAAGTACTATCATAAAGATCTAGACCTATACAAGATAGACGATTTTTATGTTGTTAATTTAACATCAAGACTAACAAAAGAAAAAATTAAGATTTTTAGAAAAGAAAAAATTGAAGTATTTTTTTTCTTTTACTTTAATTTTCATGATGTTTTATCATGTAGCTCTATTACTTTTGAAAAACTTTCATTTAAAAACTATTCTTTAACTATCTTTTAAATATATTTCAGAGGAACAAGTCGATGGTGAAACATTATTTTATATGAACGACTTCGATCTTCTGAAACCATTTAAATTGTCGTACAAGAATCAGTTACTGTTTTTAAAAGAACGAGAAAAATTATTTTTGACAAAGACTATAAAAGAAAGTCCAACATCATCATCAACAACACATGAAACAACAGCAAACGTTGTCAATGATATTGTACAAGAAACAAGTGAAAATAATGATGTCGTTCAGTTGTCAGCAGATTTAACAGCTGTTACACCACCAATCTCAACAAATTCTTCAATATCTGTAAAATTATTACCAGATCCATATGTAGTACCTGATTTACCTGATCAAGTCAAACATGCAATTAATAACAAAGAAATGGAAAAATTTGAAAAATTATGCAATTTCAGATCTATTGTGATCGATGCAATATTTTACGACTTAAAAACAAATTATAATTTGATGTGAGTATAATTTTCTTATCTTTTATTGAAGCTTATTCTCCCATACACTAAATTAGTTTCATCGTCATGTGAGAACGATTGTAAAAGGAGTAAAAGAAATTATATTAGTACAAAAGGCGCAGGTTCCCATGACGCTGAATTGATCGAAGCTAATTAAAAATGCTGAAGCGTTTTACAATGGATAACATTATGAATAGCTTAATTATACATATGTGTTTTTTTTATAGTTATCCAACAAAAACACAATATAGTACTATTGCTAATGGTCTATTAAATCATTTAGGTGTGGAACATGATACAAAAAAAATGGTAAGTGAACGTCATCAATATTTATTACAAAACTATGAACATTCTTTATTACAGAATTCTTGGCGTGAATCATTAATTTCCAAATTTAAACGAGAACGACTAAATTTGGTAAACGATGAAGTGTTGCAAATGAAGAACAAATATTCGAATGAAAATTCAGGAAGAAAATTGAAAGAATATTCAATGACAAAAATGTTAGAAAGAAAAATCCAAAAAAAAGTAAATAATAATCAGATAAGTCGAAAGGCAATTTATTCTCAATTTTAGATACCAATCGTTTCATGCTCATCTGACTACACAAATGAAATGAAAAAAATAGCTGAAACAACTGCAATTAGTTTTGAAAATAATTCATATGATGAAGAAGAGCTAAACAAGTTTTGGACTCAAACATATGAATATCGTCAAGAATTCATAAGAAACAATACAACACAAGATATAATCAAACAATTTCCTGCATATTCAGATCCATATCGAGTAACGATTTATTTCAAAACTACTATTCTGAGACTTTCAGTTTCCTTTTCAGATATTTTCAGATGTAAAAATGTTAACTGGTGTTGATTTACAAAATTCTGTTAAAGAAAAAATGGACTTTCTCTCTACAAAGCTTTGCACAAATAACCAATATCCAACAGGTATGTTGACAATTATACTTCTGTTGTATACACCAGGATTTCGTCTAGATCATGGAACTATTCGTTGCTTCAAAATATTATGTGGAATGTTAAATGACTGTTGGAAACATTATTTTCGTTTCTATCCAGAAGTAAGTGGTATAGTCAGCACTCATTCTTCCAAATAAAATAAGTACATTGCATATGAGCAGACATAACTGAGTCATTTTCTCAGTCCAAATATCCATCAGTACTTTCCATAAAAGTCAAAAAAGCTAATATCACCATTTCGATTATGCTTATTCCTCTATACCGATATGTATCATCAGTATATTAAATCCTTTATGTGGTGCCGGTTTTTAATATTAGACAACTTATGCTAGAAAAAGAGTATTACATTCAATACGTTGATCTTTACCATATTGTTTCTTCCTTTTTTTCTGACACCAGTTACTCCTCTACCAACAATACAAGAAGAGGATGATCATTTCAATGTTTATCTCGATTGGACTTTCATTTGCTCATCAAAATCAATTGAAGAATCAATTGCTATTCTTATTGGATTATACTCGTTGATGGATCTCAAATTTAATACGTATAGAATGGCAGCAAGATTTTTTTATGCATATTTAATGGACGATCAACAAAAACAGCCAAACAACATTCGTAAGATTTTTCAAGAACATAGTATTGAGCGTGTATGTAAGTCCATATCATCTGTTCAACTTCAACATCAGCATCAATCATCTATCCAACTGCAACATCAGCATCAATCATCTATCCAACTGCAACATCAATCTCCATCATCTGTCGAACAAATTAAAGAAATAAATAACAACAATAATTTTTTTCCTGATGATCGTGATGACAGTGTCCGTGATTTGGTCATTGACGACGAAGAAAACGATGAGCAACAAATAAATATCAACATTTCAACATCAAAAACAATTGTAATGAAATCTACTCCAAAACCTTGTCAAAAAAGAAAAGCTAATCATTTACCAGAAAATACAGATCTAGGTGAAGAAGAAAACATTCCACCAAGAAAAAAACTCACCAATTCAAAACGAACCAAGCGTCATTAACATTCAAACGCTACAAATCACAAATAAAAATAACTTTTAACTCTCTCTATCCAGTGACTTAAAAAATCAAAAAAAATTCATCACTTTCGTGAAAATTATGGCAAAAACATGAAAATAATGCCATTTCTGATGATGAAACGAGCATATTCTTTAATCTTTTTAAAGACTCATGATTAAAAGTAGCATTTTAATCAAAATCATATGATCCCATGTCGCTCGAACCGGTAAAAAACCGTCAGTTAACCACGGTTA